CGGCGGCCCCCGCCGTGGCTGCAGCCCCTGTCGCTTTGCCCCGCAGAGCTGGAGCTGAACACCAAGTGCGTGGTGGAAATGGAAGGGAACCAGACGGTGCTTCACCCGCCCCCTGCAAGCGCCAAGCAGGGAGAAAGGTAAAAATTAAAAATAATTTTTTTAAAAAATCATAATTAATCGTGCTGTTCGCTTAAGAATAATATTAAAAAGCCTCCGCTGCGCCGAGTTCCTGCCGCACCCTCCCCAGGCTGCGCTGTAGGCGGCCGATGGGGTGTGTGAAGGAGCTCGCTGCCCTGGCGGGGCCGGGGGGCCCGACCGGGACCCCCCGGAGCCTCCTCGCTGCCTTTCCCCGCTCCAGGGAAACGGAGGGAGCCCGGAAGGCATCGAGGTGGCCCCCACGGCCGAAGTGGTTCTGGATTAACCGCCCTATTGATCATCTGATCAATAACCTGGCAATTATAGTACCTGCCTGTAGCGTTGTCAGAAATTTCCCCTAAGTGCAGGCTGCTAATGAGCTGATGTGACCTGGGTTTTCATTTACAGAAACAAAAAGCACTTTTTTTTTTCTGCTAGCAATAGTGGGTTTTTTTCTTTTTCTAAGTTTATCTGTTAGGTTTTAACATTGGCACCTCTCATTGCTAGATCCCGTGTTACTTCGGTGTTTTTCTCTGAAGTAGCCTATGAGAATATGCTAATATGATTTTAAAATCTGGCGTTCAGTTATGATGCCCCAGTAAAGAATACAGTTGGAGATATTCCAAAAATACCAATGCACTAGACTGTAAAAATAGATCAGAACAGGAAAAGATTTCTTTCCTTTGAGGGAGAGTTGGAAAAGACAGGGAGGTGTGAGAGGAAAAGTTATGTTGTCTGTTTATCTTTTCGGTTACCTGTTGACTATTCAACTTTCTTGATCTGCTCGATATCATTAATTTCAGTGAGGGTGAAATCGTTTGCATGGTTATAGCCATTTTCATCTGAACATGTTGGTATTGTTTAAGCTTTACAAAGGATATTTGAGCTGGTAAGATTTGGGAAGAAACTGTAGCATGAGGAGGTTGTATTTTTTTTCTTTTCTCCTTTTTAATTTATTTGTTTATTTTTTTCTTTTTCAAAGGCAACATGCTAGGCTTTAGCTGTTTTCCACCAGAAGGGGTCCAAGACTTTACATGTAGACTTTCTTACATTATTCCAAATGCTGGCTTGTAGCTCTAAGCAAATCAATTTAACTTAAATCCAATGTGTGTTGTCTTCTGAACTGTTGCTGTGGCAGATGTCCTGTCCTGACACTTGAAAGATCCATGCTTGCCTCCTTCTCCTTGCACAGATCTTTGTATGCTCTTCTACAAACCGTCTTCTTCCTCTATGTGGCTTAGCATTCTGTCTATATGATGGAATTCCTGTTCGTCTTGAGACTTCTATTTTAGAGTATTCCCTCCTCTGTTTATTGAGGGGTTTATATATGGTGTCCATCGCAGTTCATATTGTTCTTATTGCAGTAGTGCTTTCTTTAAAGCGAGTGGATGTGGCAGGTATAAAACATGAAATGCATAGAGAGTTTGCAAAGCAAGAACAGAATCAAGATTTTAAAATGATTGTTTTGATGCAGAGTCTAAGACACAGATTCTTTCAATAAAAAGCTTATGATGTGTGACTTTTGCCTGTTGTGCAAATTGTTGTGCAGGTACCTAGGGAGAATGTACAGGGCTTCTTTCCCTTGCCAGAGCTTGTGAGGCTGGTACTTTTTTGGCTTTAATACCTACAGCGTGTATACGCAGTCCTGCTTGGTGTGCCTTGGTTGTGGGTCTGTGCTGGGAGCCACCCCAGGGGCGAGCGCTGTGCAGGCAGGAGATGTGCCGTGGCTGTCGTGTACAGTCTGCTGAGGTGCCTCATGGATTTTTCTAGTGCTTTGTAAAGATTCTTAGGTTTTATTTAATGTTAAATAGTTGATTTTTGCCTTTTTTTTCCTAAATAGTTTGTTTTTTTCACAATGACAGTTAAATTCTGCTGTTCTTTTACATGTACCCAAATAAAATGTCTATGTAAACGGACTCTGAATTGCTGAGTAGTTGCTGTTTGTACTTGGATTAATGCCTCAGCAGGGTTAGAGATGTCAAATAGATTTTTGATTTTCTTTGTGTAGCTTGGTTTTATGTAGCTCAACTGGATTTTCCTTTCGGAGCAACCATGTCATACAAGAATGATTTCACTTGTTAAGGTGACTAATTGGTCTTTTGCTACCATATTGCATTATTTTAATATTCCATTTAAAACTACTTTTCCCTTTTTAACCTTTTAGTTTGTTAGATGGAAATTTTCTTTTTTAGATTAATAAAAGTTTGTGCTGCCCTTTAGAATAAGGATAAGAAGCTTTCTAAAGCAAGTTTGGTTTCTGAGACTACTTTCTTAATCAAGTTGAAGCCAAGAAGCTCTAGGTTAGGGAGAAGAAGGATGAGGGGGGAGACTTAAGGACTATGCTCGTATTTGCCTCGTAGTCATAGTTATAATCGTAAATGCAGTAACAGAATTTTCTAAGGTTAGATAGCACTTTTATAATCATAACACTATAAAATTTGCTTTTGTAAGAATATTAAAGATTAGGAAAATGAATTTTACTAACTTTGTTTGTTCTACAAGTATCCGAATTTAGTTTAATTCAAAAACAAATCCATAGATTCTGTTGATCAGTCTCTAGTTAATTGTACATATTCTAGCATTAAACTTTTGAATGATTTTACATGGGCAAATAGTGACAGTTTTACAAGTGGTGGGAAGCTATAATTTAAGCAGCGCTGTCATTTGCCAAAATATTCTAGATTTCTAACAAGGTTTCTAACTCCCTGTTCTACCAACTGGACCACAGAGCATTCATACCCTTACAAAGAAAGCTACAAAGTAGTACACTACAACCTGTTACAGTGTGATATATTTCTTTTTGTAAGCAGTAGGCCCCTCATTTCCCGTAGGCTACTGATTTTTGCAAATCTTGCTAGAAAAAGCTATCAATCTGAGTCCAAAAGACACAGGAAAGTCTTCACAGCTTGCAGTAACACTAGCGTTTAGAAAGGAAGCTTTCCTGAGCAGGTATCAAGTTTAATCTCTGTGGTGCTGGCAAAGTTTTTGTGCATTGATTTTTGGACTGTTACAGAGGACCCTTTTGTAGCAGGTGGGTTTGGACTAGATGATGCCCAGAGGTTTCTCTAGTCTCAGCCATCTGTGAGCCCTTGTTTTACCACTGTTGGTAGCAACAGTTTCCTTTATATTGACCAATATGTGTTTTTATGTGTTGTTGTAGTCCCTATCCTGCCTTTTATTCTCTTCCTCTCCCAAACTGGCGTGGGTTTCCCTTTCTCCCCTGGAAAAGAATGGGCAACATCTTGTCTTTCTGGGAACCCTATGATTTTTGTCTTCACCTATGGATCTGAATTTCTCCTCTTGTGCTAAATATAAGTGTAAAAATGGAAAGATTTTGCTGGGTGTCTCTTCCACACCTGATTGTCAAGATATGCTCTCCCTAATCCTTGCCTTTCAGCTTTGCTTTTTAAAAACATAGGATCTTAAAAGTTTTGTTTTGGTTCCCTGACAACAGTTCTTCATGGCATGATCTTTCCTTCTTTAATAAACAAAATATTTGTCTTGACTGAAATAAACAAGGAACTGTGGAGACAGTAAAACTGAATTGCTGCTTCAACTATGCAATTTGACTGAAAAAAAACTCGTTTGGGGGACAATTTATTCCGTTAGGGCATAGTAGTCTTGTACAAACCTGGTGTTATTAAAGATCTGGGGTCAGAACATCAGTAAGAAGTCATCAAGAGTGTGGAGCTGAATATGAAATTGTCTTTTTTTTTTTTTTCTCCTTTCGTTAGAAAGTGTATTTTCTCCTGGTTTAGTTCTTTTTTAGAAGTGTATTTTAAGACTCGTTTGCTCTGTCTTCTTTCACCTTTTTGGTAACACATGAATAGTTCAAAGGCCAAATTCTACTTAGGGAGAACTTTTTTCTTTATATTGTCATTAAATTGCTAAAAACTGTTGTGTGTGTGTATGTGTATATATATATATTTGAGTTCTTTAATAACACTGCCTCCCTCTGACTTATTCCCAGTTATTTATCCAGTTTTTGTAGGCCATAATACTTCCAAAGGTTTCAGCATTCCTAGATAGCTCCTCCAAAAGTCTCACTTCTCAGTAACAGGTCTGTTTTACCTCCCCCTGCTCTCCCACCCCCTTGCCCTGTTTTCCATTGGGAAGCAGAATTCAGAATGGTCTTTAGTAGGCAGGCATTCATGCAGTTTGCTTGTTATTTATTGCTATGAACAGATTCAGAGAAGGATACTGTTGGGTGAAAGGGATGTTCACTTTTGGCAATGGTCCCCATTTTAAAATGAACCTTGGGGAAGAAGACAGCTGAAACTGGACAGCTGCAAATTATTTCTGTATCTGAAGGAATGCTCAGGAAGATGGTGTCTGATTCACGTGATCCAAATTATCATCTGTTTGAGATAGATGATAAAATAACAGCTGGCACCAACCATTAACTTTGTCTATAGGAAACTGTAAAACAATCTGATTTTGACCTCTTCTGTTGGTGTTTCTGTTAGGCATCAATGATCAGGATGTGAACTGTTAGCTTTGAGTCTTTATGGAGAAGGTGTGCCTGAATTATGGAATGTGCTGTTGGAAATGGCATTTCACAACTATTTCCGCAATGCTTTATTTCATTCATGTTTCAGATAGGACACTGGAAGGAGTTCCATAAAATTGCTGTTCTTAAATTAACCGTAATTTGGAGGAGATAAAAGAAGAAGGAAAAAAAAAAACTATTTTGGATTATAGGTTTGTGGCATGTTCTTTCTAAGGTGCTCTGAAGTGTAGTAAATGAACAGCCATTTTGTATCGTGTTTCTGAGCCCCAGACCTTGGTCTGAGTTAGGGCCATGTGCTTTGGTCGAGGAAACTATTGTTGGAGGTTGCTGGATTGTGTGAGAGCAGCTAGGAATACTTAGCTGGCGTTATTTCAGAACAAAAATAGATCAAGTATTTGGAAAAAAAGAAAAAAAAGGAAACCATTCTTGGTTAATTAGGCAATCGCTGATTTGTAGCCTTTTGTGTGCTTTTGGATTACTTAGCATTGTGTT